TGAGCAAAGACTTGAAGGAGGTGAGAGAGCGGCCATTCAGAGATATCTGGGGAAGAGGATTCTGGGCAGTGCCAAGGCCCTGAGGCAGGAGTGTGTCTGGTGTTGTTGGAGGAACAGAAGAAGGCCGGTGTGTTTGGAGCAGAGCGAGTGAGGGAGCGAGATAATAGGAGAAGATAGAGAGGTAATAGGGACCAGGTCCTGTTGGGCCATCTAAGGGCTTCCACTTTTACTCTGGGGAAAATGGGGAGCACTTGGAAGGTTCCAAGCTGAGGAGGGACACACTTATGTTTTAAAAGAATCAATTTGGCTTCTGGAAGAAGTATATCATGGAAGGACAAGGGCTGAAGCAGGGAGCCCAGGGAGGAGGCGTTTGCAGTAATTCAGGTGAGAGAAGATGGTGGCTCGGAACTTGGTGGTGGGAATGGGGGTCGTGAGAATTGGTAGGATTCTGGATACATTTTGATGTTCGTGCCAACAGGATTTACTGTTGGGGGCTGTGAGAGAACGAGAGGAGTCGAGGAGGCCTCCATGCTTTTGGCCTGGGCTGCTGGAGGGAGGGCGTCCTCAATAACTGAAATGGGGAAGGCTGAAGAGGAGCATGCGCTCTGTTTTGGTTTTGGTTTTGTTCTTGGTGGTGGTTTTCTTTTCTATTTTTAATTTTTTTTATTAGTTTCAGGTGCAAATGTGCTCTATTTTGGACACATTAAGTTTGAGGTAACTTTAAACATCCAAGGTAAGATGTCAAGTTCAAGATGGATGTACAAGTCTGGGGTTTTGGAGGGAGAAGTGGGCTGGGGATAAAATTTGGGATATGGTTCAAAGTGTGTTTAAAGTGTCCATAAGCCCTCACATAAACCTGTGTGAGGACTCTTCTCTGGGACAATCTGTCTGGAGGGCAATTGGTCAATATTTCAAATATTAAACTGTACATACCCTTCAGCCAAGCAATTCTTATCCTAGGATATTATATTATTATCTAGTTCTATATTATCTGTATGTTATATGCAGAAACGCTGTACAAGGTCAAGTTCATTAGCAAGGACCTAGTTAAAAAACGTATGATATTTCCATACAGTGGGTTCCCTTGCATCTGTTTAAAAAACAAACAAACCAAAACAGTGCTCTGTGGGTTGCTGTAGAATATAAGGGAAAGAAAACAAATGGCTGGACAACATATATAATGTATGTAATGTATATGTAATATATATGTAATGTGATATAATGTAATGTCATCTGTGCTTTAAAAACATTTTTTTTAATTATAGATATTGGTGTTTGTACAGGCAGAAAAACAAATAGCTGGAAGGATACAGAAATAATCCGAGGAAACAGACTGAGAGCAAGACACTTAACTTTCTATTTTTTATATACTATTTGATTTTTTTAACTGTGATGATGTATAATTTGACATTTAAAAGTAAAAATGTTTAAAGACCAAAAAAAAAAATGTGTGTGGGAACCCGGAGACAAACAAACAAAAATTCTGATCAGCAGAACAGGTAATAAAAAGAAGGCAGCTCAAGAAATTCCTTTGTGCTAATTTCACATAGTGGAAGGGGCTGGCCAGTGGTTCAAAGGTGGCCCGAGCCCTTTGTGACTGGTGCAGGGTTTGAACCATTTATTTATCCAGTTAGAGAGCAAACAAATTGAATGCTGGGTGCGGTGGAATCAGGGATGAATCCATCTTATCAGACAGAGAGATACCATAGAAAAGGGAGACAAGGGTGGAGATAGGAGAAGCAGAGAAGAAAGGGGACAGCAAGGGAAGTGAGTGTGTCCTTAAAAGGGAATGGGCCACCATAGATACTGCTGAAAGGTCCAGGAAGATGAGGACAGAGGAGTGGCCGTTGTCATTGGAGGAATTGGAGGGTTGCTGGAGACCTCTGTCTGGACAGAGCAGAGGGGATTGAAGCCAGAGTAGGAGGGGTCAGAAAAATGGGAGACCTCTCCCAGGCTGGGTCAGACTCCCAGTGACCTACTCAGGTTGCTTGGAGACAGGATGTAGAGGCCAAAAATGATGGCAAGAATCCATTGTTCTGTTCTTTCCTAAGACAGGGAAGGGAGCCAGGGAGCCTCCACAAGTAGAACTGCTCCTAACTAACAGGATCACCCACTTTGTGGGCAGGCCCACTCCTAATATGAGAGCAACGGAGGGCCCCCAGACTGTTCCATTTCTCTTCCCCCAACAGATCCATCTGCACTGTTGAGGACCTTGCATGTGTGTAGACAATTGGACAAGCCAGCCCACTTGCCCAAGCTCCCTCCACTAAAGCTACTAAGGGTAGCAGACACACTGGTTAGCAATGGGAGGAAGGCCTTAAAGAAGAGGCCTGCACAGGCCCTATCAGGATGTTTGGGCAAATAATTTTGGAGTTGCAGGTACTTAGATGGGAGGCATGGAGCATGTTACGTTGGCCTTGTGTCTCATCTGTCTGTAGAGAAGGGTGTGGCTGGAGGAAAGCCAGAGCAAGGTTTCTCAATGACACAGTCCAGGGCAGGGGCCCTTCCTTGCCAGCTCTGAGGACAGGAAATTACTGGAAAGGACAAAGGAGGGAACCAAGAGAACCGGAAGTGGGCCAGGTCTGGTGGCAAGCATCCTGGGGCTCATCTCAGGAAGTGGGTTTCAGGCTGTAAGGCACACGGACTCACCCCAGGAATAAAAAGTGTCTAGTTATATCACTGGTGAACAGGAGCCATGCTGGGCCAATGATGACAATCAATGTGATGTCAAACTGCTGCCCTGGACAAGAGTAGTCTTCTTGCCAAACATCTCAGTGGACGATACAAGTACCCACCTGCTTGCACACACAGGATATTTGCGAGTCATCCTTGACCCCTCTTTTCTCTCATTCCCATTATCTATCAGCAAGTCTTGTCAGTTCTACCCTTTTAGATCTATCTCCAATCAGTGCCACTCCTGAACTTTTTAAATTTCCTTTGCCCTCTCCCAGCTTTTGCACAATGGGGTTCTTTTGCAGGAAGTGCCCCCTTTTCCTTCTCTCCTGGCTTACTCCTACTCAGTTTGTTTGTTTTATTTTTTGTTTTTTTCACTTAAAAAATTGAAGTATAATTTATATACAGTAAAATTCACCCTTTATAGTGTACAGTCCTGTGAGGTTTGCCAAATCCATAGTTTTGTAACCACCACCAGAATCAAGATAGAGAACAGTTCCATCACCCCAAGAAATTTCTTCATGCTCCTTTGGAGCCAACACTACTTCTTGTCATCAGCTCCTGGCAACCACTGATCTCTTTTCTATTCAATATTTTGCATTTTCAAGAATATCCTATAAATAGAATCATTTAGTATGTGTATAGCCTGTTGAGACTGGCTTCTCTTACCTAACATAACACATTTGATAATTTATCTATGCTGTTGAATCAATAATCTGTTTCCTCTTTATTATTGAGAGTATTCTGTTGTATAGGTGTACCAAAATCTATTTATCCTTTTACCAGTGGATAGGACATTTGGGATTTTCCAGTTTTTGGAGAGCATGAATTAAAACTGTCTTAAACGGGGCTGGCCGCGTGGCTCAGTTGGTTAAGAGCTCAATCAAGAGTGCGAGCTCTGGGGCCGGCTGAGTGGCGCATTAGTTAAGAGGTGGCTTGGGACGCCAGAGGGCCCCCGTTCGGATCCCACATATGAGGGCCAGTGACACTGCTCTCTGCAGCTGAGATGCTGAACAATAGCTCAACCTGGAGCTGGGCTGCTGTGAGTCGCCAGTGAGGGCATAGGCTGCAGCCCCTGCTTCAGTGGGTTGCCATGGGCTACCGTGTGTAGCCAGCAGCCAGCATGAGCAGCCCTCAAGCCACCATGAGCGGCTGTCCAGAAGCAGGTGACTGATGTGCCTCACCCGGGAAGAGCCCAATGATGGTGCCAACTTGGGCCAGTGAAGCAACGTCCTCCACAACTACACTGAAGAACAAAAGGACAGCAACTTCTCTGTTCCCCTTGCCCCAATTCCCCAGCGCTGTTCCCATCCCCCAATTCCCCAATAAAAATCTTTAAAAAAATAAAAAATAAAAAAAGAGTGCAAGCTCTGAGCAACAGCGTTTTGAGTTCCAGCCCTAGCTGAGCTGCCGCTGAGCTGCCAACAGGCGGCAGGATGGCTCAGCTAAAAAAAATAAAAGTTTAAAAAAAAAAACCAAAAAACTGTCTTAAACATTTGAGTACAGGGTTTTGTGTGCCTGTAAGTTTTCATTTCATCTGTATGTGTAACTTATAAGAAACTGCAAAACTGTTTTCCAGAACTACTGAACTAGTTTGCATTCCCTTCGCAATATATGAGAACTTGCTCCACATCTTCACCAGCATTTGGTTGGTTAGTTGGTTTGTTTTTATAAATTTGTGATGTGTTGGTTTCACATTCTACTAAGTATGTAGTGCTTTCGAATTGTGGTTTTAATTTCCACTTCCTTGATGACTAATGGAATCTCCTCGGTCTTTTGAATCTCAGATTGGTCTTCACTCCTTCCAAAAAGCCACTGTTCATGCTCACTGTACAGACCGATTAAGTTCCTGTCCTTTGTGGTTCCATGACCACCAACATTTATCTCTACATTGGCCTGAACCCACTAAGCTGCAATTGTTTTCCTGTCCCCACCCCCCAACACACACACACACACACACACACACACACACACACACACACTGCTGTGAGCTCCCTGAGTGCAGAAGCAGCATCTTAGTTCCTTTGGCATCTCCAGCTCCCAGCACAGACCTGAAACAGAATCTTTATACAATAAAGATTAAATGAGCGAATTAATAATTGCTTAACAAATTAGGAAATGGACGGATGAAGGTAGGTGGTTAGGAAGCAGATTTTGCAATCAGGCTGTCCTGGCTGTGCAATTAACCCCTTCTCACTGGTGCCTCGCACTAAGCTCACCTGAATACAGGTGATGCGTATAATACGCTTATTTTGACGATGACGACAACAGTAGAAGAGGTAGGCAAAACGGAAAAGGCGGGGCCAGCAACGGAAGTGTGGCCAGGAGTTAGCGGCGTTTTAGTTGCCATGGAGACCGGACAAGACAGGGACCGCCAGTCAGCCCAGTCTGGGTCCTACGCGTTCGCTGGGGCAACGTGGACTCCAACCTCGCGCCTGGACCGGATTCGCGGCCCTGGCCAGTCCACCTGGCTGTCCCTCATCTACCCCGAGGCCTTCCACTATGGTTTCAGGACTCGGCCCCGCCGCCTCTCGCCCCTTGGATCCTCGCCGTTTCCTGAGCCGCACCTGCTGCGTCTGCGCCCCACCTCGCTTTGCACCCAGGACATCTCGCACTTGCTCACCAGCGTTTTCCGTAATGTGTACACGGCTGAAGTGATCGGCGAAGACGTGAGCGCGAGTTTGATCAAGGCCCGCGGCAGCGAGGATGCGCGCCACGAGGAGTTCGTGGACGAGCTACAGCAGGTAACACGGCTCGGCGGCCCCGAGCGCTTCCTACCGGTGCTCACCGGGGGCGCAGGAATGTAGTGTCTGCGGACAGTAAGGGCGACCGTGCTGGAGGGCCCCAAGACGCACCCCCAGCAAGTCAGGCTCCTGCAGGACTCAGCCGCTGGACAAGTGTCTGCACCTGTCGGGTGCCAGGCGCTGTTCCAGACACTGGGGCTGCAGCTGGGAAAGCGCCAAGTCCTTGCCTCAGCGTATCGACATTCTAGTGGGACACTATACACACACGTATACAAACACCCAGTTACTGCACACATAAGGCATATATCTGTAGCACCTATCTTTTTTTTTTTTTACACACATACATACATTATATACAGGCATACCTCGGAGATATTGCGGGCTTGGTTCCAGACCACCAAACTAAAGGGAGTATGCAATAAAGTGAGTGATAATCTTTTTGCTGGTGGAGGGTCTTGCCTTCAATTTGTTCAACAAGGAAGGAAGGAAGGGAGGGAGGAAGGACAGAAAGAAAGACACACACCTGTGAAGCGCAATAAAGTGAGATATGCCTGTATAGCATGTATAAATAAAATGACTTGGGGCAGATAGCTGGAGATAAAGCTAAAAGTCACCCCCCTACTTTGGGGTGCCTGATTTTGCATTAAAACCCACAATCTTAATCGAAGCATTCATGCCCAGATTTTAGGAGACATGCCCAGTCTCTGGAACACAGCTCTGCTTCCTCATCTGTATAAGGAGGAAAGCAGCTCACTTGAGTCCTTTCTGTTTAGTCTGACTGCTGACAACTCCCTTAGTGGAGGCTCAGCTGAGTGCTTTCAAGTAGCGGAAGTAAACTGAATGGCTGACAGCTGGAGGCTCTGTGCTCACTACCTTCCTGAAGCTCAGTACCAAGTCCTTCTTTGAATCCGGACCTGGGTAGCACAGCCCTTTGTCTACCACAGCGGTGTGCTAACTTGTATTTGGTATTTCAGAGTTTGAATGGCAGCTCTCTTGACTGTGTTACTTATGAAACCTTTAGGCCATTTTTCTCTGGGGGAAGGGGGCCTCAGTTTTCACATGGCAGGTTGGACCCAATGGTCTCCATAGTTCTGTGACTCTTCTGTGCTTCATGGGAAGCCCTGATACTAGAGTGACGTTGAGTAAAGCTATGTGGTCTCACCATATTTCTGTGCATTTGATCATCCACCTGCCAGATTCGGCAACTCTATAAGCAGCGGCTGGATGAGTTTGAAATGTTGGAGAGGCATCTCATTCAGGCCAGTGCACGGACCCTTGCGGAGAAAGAACGGGCCATGCACCAGGCCAAAGCACAGGTCCTGGAGCCCTTCATCAAGCTGTCTCCAGGTGTGTATAAAGAACTCCTGCATGCCCTTCACCCTGATTCCCCAGCTGCGAATATATTACTGTATTTGCTCCATTGCACATTGTCTAGTCTCTATGTGAACATCTGGAGAGCAAGTTAACAGACGTGATGTTTCATGACCACAAAACACTCCAGTGTGCGTGTCTCCAAAACAGAGACACTCTCGTACATAACCAGCATACAACCCTCCAAGCCAAGAAATCGGCATTGGTGCAACATTAACCTCCAGTTCACGGATCCCATTCACATTTCACCAGCTGGCCCACAGTGGCTCTCTAGGAAGTCATGTTGCATATAATTGTCATGTCTCTTTTAGACTTTTCACTTGGAACAATCCTTTGATCTTTTCCCGTCTTTCATGTTCTTGACAGTTTGATTTTAGCCAATTCTTTTTATTGTGGTAAAATGAACATACCATAAAAATTACCATCTTAACCATTCTTTTTTTTTTTTTAAGATTTTATTGGGGAATTGGGGGAGGGGAACAGCGTTGGGGAATTGGGGAAGGGAATTCCTGTCCTTTTGTTCTTCAGTCTAGTTGTGGAAGGTCGCTTCACTGGCCCATGTTGGTATTATCACTGCACTCTTCCCAGGTGAGGCAGATCGGTCGTCGGCCACTGGATGGCCGCTCACGGCATCTCTTGGCAGCTCACGATGGCTGCCAGCTGCTCTTGCCAGGTGCCAGCCACTCACAGTAGCTAACGGCAGCCCACTGCAGCTCCACTGCAGCTTACGCCGATGCCAGCGACTCATGGCAGCCCAACTCCAGGTCGAGCTGTTGTTCACCATCTTAGCTGTAGAGGACACAGCGTCACTGGCCCTCATGTGGGATCCAAACTGGGGCCCTGCTGCTCAGTGCTGGCGTCCCAAGCCAGTTCTTAACCAATGCGCCACTCAGCTGGCCCTTAACTATTCTTTTTTTTTTCCTTAACTATTCTTAAGTGTACAGTTCAGTGGCATTAAATACATTATAATGTATAGCCTTCACCACCATTCATCTCCATAATTCTTTTTATCTAGTAAAATTGAAAATATTGGGTTGTCAGAAAAGTCAATGATGTATTTTTTCTATGTTTCTCATTGCAAAAATGAGTCATGACTTTTCCGACAACCCAATACTTATTAAACAATAACTCCCCATTCCCCTCTACCACAGCTCCTGGCAACCACCATTCTACTTTCTGTCTCTAGGATTTTCACTACTATAAGTACCTCCTATAAGTGGAATCATACAGTATTTGTCTTTTTGCAACTGGCTTATTTCACTTAGCTTATTTAATGTCCTCGAGGTTCATCCATGTTGAAGCATATGTTATTATAGAAGTTCCTTTCTTTTTAAAGCTAAATAACATTCCATTGTATGTATATGCCACATTTTGCATATCCATTTGTCCATTGATGGACACTTGGGTTGCTTCCCTTCCATGTGTTAGCTATTGTGAGTAATGTTGCTATGAACATGGATGTTTGAATATCTCTGAAACCCTGCTTTCGATTCCTTTGGGTCTATACCCTGAAGTGGAATTGCTGGATCACATGGTAGTTCTATTTTTAATTTTTTGAGGAGCCACCATACTGTTTCCACAGTGGCTGTACCATTTTTACATTCCCACCAACAGTGCACAACAATTCCCATTTCTCCACATCCTTGCCAACACCTGTTATTTTGGGGGCTTTTGATATTAGCCATCCTGATGGGTGTAAGTTGGTATCTCACTGTAGTTTTGATTTGCGTTTCCCTGATGATTTGTGATGTTGAGAAGCTTTTCGTGTGCATACAGGCCATTTGTATATCTTCCTTAGAGAAATGTCTATTTAAGCCCATTTTTTTAATCCATTATTTTCTGGTTGAGTTATAGGAATTCTGTATTCTGGCTATCAATACCTTATCAGATATATGATTTACAATTTTCTCCCATTCTGTGGATTATGTTTGGAAGATTTTTGATTACTGATTACTGATTCAGTCTCTTTACTAGTTATAGGTCACTTCAGATTTTCTGTTTCTTCATGATTTAGTCTTGATAGATTTTCTGTTTCTATGAATTTGTTCATTTTATCTAGGTTATCCAATATGTGGATGAACAAATGTTCCTAGTATTCATTTGTAATCCTTTTTATTTCTCTGGAATCAGTAGTAATGTACCCACTTTCATTTCTGATTTTAGTCATTTGAGTTTTCTCTCATTTTTTTTCTTAGTTGATCTAGCTAAAGATTTGTTAATTTTATTTATCTTTTCCAAGAACCAACTTTTGGGTTTATTGATTTTTCTCTGTTGTCTTTCTCTTCTCTACTTTGTTTATCCTCTAATCTTCATTATTTCCTTCTTTCTGCTAGCTTTGGGTTTAGTTTATTCTTTTTCTAGTTCTTTAAGTTCTAAGGCTAGATTATTGGTTTGAGATATTTCTTGTTTTTTTTTTTAATGTGTCTATGGCTATAAATTTCCCTCTTGTTTTCTTAAATTATTGCAGGCTGTCTGTGCTGAGGGTCAGCTTGAGGTGTATAGTTAAGGTTTTCTGAGATCTTCTGTGAGCCTTTTCTTGGGCATGTGCTGTCATATTCTCATTTTCCCCATATATCCAGTTGTTTTTGAATGTCCCTAGTATTTAGTATCTAGCTCCCATAAGGGGAAAAAGAGAAAGGTGAATGGGTGGAATTAAGATGCTGGCCTTTTAAGAGCCCTGGAATCACTTCAACTGGAGGAGGAGGGGTTTGCAACAGTGAAGGGGAGGTACAACAATAATGGCTGCTGCCTCTTTGTCTACACCTCTGTGATCAGAAGCAATAAGAGCACAGGTCCCTGATTTTTGGAGGACAGAGTCCTTTTTGCTCACCCAGGTTCCCACAACCTATGTGTAGGTTGCCCCAGAAACACCTTCACAGATGCCCGCTGTGGAATTGGGGGTGAGAGATGGGTAAGCTACTGTGCTGGGAGCTGAAGTTAACCACGATTTACTGTCCATGTCTTTCCCTGGAAGTTACAAGCCTTCAATAGATTCCAGAGTTCCAAAATAGTTACATTAGACTGATTCTGCCAGTGCAGTTGTTGTCTAGATGGAGAGACAGATTTCTCGTGCTTTCTACTCGGCATCTTCCCAGAATCCTCTCTCGTCAGTTCTTGACAGGCCTTTCATTCTGTAGAATGGTTTTCATGTTTCCTCATGACCAGACTCAGACTCATTCTTGTCAGTAACACAACATAAATTATGCTGTGCTCGCCTCACTGTGGCACATCAGGAGGCACTGGTGACGTTAACCTTGATCACCTGGTCAGGCTGGTGTCTGCCCGGGGTTCTCCACATTAAATTCTCTACATTAAATTATAATTGATTAGTATTTTGCGGAAAGGCATTCTTAGATTTCACCAATATCTTTCTCCTCATCAAAGCTGCAGCACCACACCACCAGCATTCGCTGAAAACTTTTTTTTTTTCCAATCACACACCTCTGTGGAGATACGTTCATAAGTTTACTTGTTAAAGAAATTGAGTTACTTTTCCTATAAACTTGCCCATAGTCTGGTTTTGCTGATGTCAACACTGTGGTGTTGTTTAATCTGTTCTTATGATCTCAGTATTTCAGTAATTATTGTAGTTCTAGAGACTTTACGAAGTTTAGGTTCAAATTTTTTTGGGGGGGTGGGAAGGGGCAGGACCACTTCATAGATGGTGCTGTTTGGTTTCTTCTGGAGGTACATGGTATCTGATGCCTCTCTTTTCATGATGCTGGCAGCCTTTGACTAGATCTATTATTTCAGTGGGGTTTGTAAATTATGAAATGCAAGTGATACTGGAATACTTCTATAGAGAAAAACTTCTCAGCAACTACTTTGCTTACCCAAGGTATGGACAGGATTAATTCTTTCCCCTTATTTTCCAGTTTTTAAAATAATAAGTTGGCTCCCTAGCATCTTTCAAAGGTGACTGATGAGGTTTATTTAGTTTTAAGGTTTATCATGAACTCGTGGATTTCATAACTACAATTATACTTGTTATCCTTACTGATTTCTCATCTTCGGCAAATTTTGACACAACGTCAGTTTTCTTTGATAACTTCCTTACTTTCTGGAATGGTCCAGATGCTCCAGGCTCATCTTATCTATGTATTGCCCAAGACCTGGAATCAGCCATTTCCCTAAGAAGCCCTTGTTCCTTTTATTTTCCTCAAAGACTTTTATATAGCCTCCTCCTTCCCTGAAAATTGTCATTTTCCAGTGCAGTAGGCAGAAGGGACAGTGCTCTTAGGGTTGGGAGACGTGACATATCTGTGGCCTAGAGGGAGGGAGAAGTAGAAGATACAGTGGCTTAGAAAGGCATTACACTTATGGGGTCCTACTAGGGACCAGATACTTCATGAGATGCTTTGCATAGGTTATTCCACTGAATCCTTGCAATGATTCTGGGAAGTGGGTTTCTCTCCATTATATACATGCAGGAACTAAACTCAGAGAGAGGGTCAAGTAACTTCCCTAAATTTCCACAGCTCAGAAGGGCTGGGACCCAGATTTTAACTTGAGTGTATCCGCTGTCAGGGCCCGTGAGGAAGGATCATTGACCAGGCACAGTGTCACAGGAGGTTAGATGACTTCCGCTAGGGTGTGGCTCTGAGCATGAGGCCCTAGCCTTTGTCAGGCCTGCTGTCTCTGAGGCAGTGCCATTAGATAGTAAACACTCAGCACAGATTCCGCATCTCCTATTTCCCTTTCCACCACAGCAGTCATGTAGCTGCCAGAATCCCTCCCTTAACCGTGGATTTAAGCAGAGATTTTTGGTAGCAGATTCTCTGGAGGTTTTATTAATTGCCTGATATCCTCTGAGCCCTGGGAGTCAGATACTGTCACTGTCTCTGGTAGGATTCTTTTGGCTAAAGATCAGGAGAGATTGAATAATTGGTTAGGGGTTTTTTGTTTTGTTTTGTTTTTTTAATGAAAGTGAAATAAAACATTGAGAACTGGGAAACAAACACCAGTCAGGAGATTTT